ATTATTGGGATATAAGTTGTTTTTCAAGGTGGCTAAGAGTTATTTACAATTAAGAGATTTCTTGACCTTGACTTCAGTGATAATATTTGCCTCTTTCTTCACTTCCGAATCACTGTTCCTTGCAGCTTGCTCTTTAGGTCCAGTTATGTTTGACAATGTATTTCTGTGTAAGCCCAATGAAAACTTGTTTGTTTCTTTTAAAAATTAAAAAAATAATAATAAAAATCCCTCTCATTCTGCCCTGCTTTACCTGTTTCAGGGCAGCAGCCTGCTGGTGCTGTCTATAAAACTAGTTTATCTGTGTTTTATGGGGGGGGAACAGTAACAAAAGGAGTGTAAAAAGAGTATTACTCCTGTGACTCGTAGGGGTTGTGGCAGCTTCACATCTAGACATGAGTTACTAATGGCCGTCAGGATTGAAAGGAACTTCTTGGTGACTTAACTATGCGTCATTAAGTCAGACTGCAATTAGCTCTGTTCATGGAGCTAACCCTGCACCAAGCAGAGTTAGTATGCTCATGTAAAACGCTCCCTGCACATGACTCTGCATAACTATGTTCATTAGGACTAAAGAAGGTAGAGATGATTTCCCTTTCATAAGTTACATGGGGTGAGCAGAGAATGTGAAATAAAGATCTAATTGCTAGTAAATTTTCAAAGCAATCCGAATGGGAGTGGGTAAAGTTATATGCAGTGTGCTTAGGGTTAACACAGCTGTATCAGCTCCCGAGCCCACCGCCTGCGCTGTGATCAGGGCTCCCTGCTATTGGCTGAGAGCAGGGGAGGGAGGCAAAGGAAGAAAATCCACCGCTTAATTTAGGCAGTGACGAATGGGTTGCTGTGCAGGATGCTTCACTCCTGGATGTCTGGGGTGATGCAGACACTAAAAAGGGAAATGCATTTTCTCATCGCATCTTTACAGGCAAGGTGTCATGGATGGCAGCTTACCTTGGCCTACATCTTCTAGTGAGGCTGCTTAAGGTGCTTGGGGGGTGGAGGTCTCAATCATATATGATATCATAGTGCCGTCCTATTTTCCCTTGTCCTGTCCCCCCACTTTTCCATGCTTTTGGGCTGGCTGACTCCACATCACAGCCCTTTTGTCCATGCATTGGCATTTGCTTTTATATCTGGACACATCAAATATGACACCCTTCTGGGCTATTTTATTCCAGAGCTGTAGCTTAAATATGTTAGGATATATCTTCAGATGGAGCAGGCCTAGCCAGAGTATGTGAAAGACACAACAGGTATGTTTAAGCATCTCTGGCAGACAATCGTGTAAGAAGCTTTTGCTTGGCTAAAAAATCGTGCTGTCAGCTAATGCTGCTATGAGAGAGAGTGAATTCAATTTTTATACACAAAGTCTGAGCAAGTAGACATCGCTTGTGGAGGCTGTAGCTGCTGGTGTCACAGGCAGCCCAGGGAGGCTACATCGTGATTTGGGTAACTGTATGTCCAGTGCTCTCAGATACAATCTTTTTTCCCCCGCTTAGGATGGATTTGGGGGGAATACATCATTTTTCTGACATTCCTGGATAACCTTGTAATGATTGGGTCCTTATTGAAGTCATACTGCAGTGCTTTATTGAGAAATGGCTCATACAGCTGAAGATTCTGGGCATGGATGCAACACATATGAACGTGTATTACTTCCCATTTCTTATGAGAATCAGTGCCATGGAATGCCTAGTCTTAAGTCTTCCTTCAGCTCAAACGTAATTCCACATAGTGTTTTTTGTGGTATACTTTTAGATCATAAGTGCATATAGGAACTGTACTGCTCACTCTGCATTTTAACCAGTACACTGCACTTTTCTCCTTCTCCTCGTTGTTATACTGGCACAGCTGAATGTGTGGATGTCCAAGGAATGGGGGTAGGGAAGAATCCGGGTTATATGACAAAAAGAAAGCACAGGAAAGCTCAAGATCAAGGGGTTCAGTCTGTTAGACCCAGGTATGAAGCCAGAGAACCATGGTGGGAAGCATTGCACAAAATTTTGGGGAGGGTTTTCAGATTTTTCAGTACAAGTCTGCTCTGGCATATGATTGTGGACCACTAGTCTTACCTCACAGCCCTTTTATTTGCAGCATGTGCTGGTTATAGGTTAGGCTGACACAGATTGTGCTTAGTGTGATACTGAGATCCTGCCTGCATATGCTGTGTGCTGATGACATTCAGCCAAAGGCTGCATGTGCCTCATGCAGGCCTGAGATCATAAATGGCTTTTATTTGTAGAATTTGGATGAACAAATGATCTTTTCTTAGCCCAGCCTAGCCTTATTTGCTTTCTATTTTAGGAGATAATGATAATTGCTAGCTTTTCATGTATATACCCAACTGTTTTGCCAGAGTTAAAATCAGGTTTAGTTAAAAGTCATCTCAGCCGAATAAGACAGTACTGGGCTATTAGTTTACTTTGATTCTAGACATTCAACATATCGGTGATATTAGCAGAATGGAAATAATGATGTTAATTTACTCTTGCAAAACACTTCAAGGAACCCAGAAAGAGGTTCCTTGTTGCTATAGAATAATAAAAGCATGTTATCAACCCCTTGTATCACACATGAGCACAAGAGTAAGTGCGGCAACACCACCTTTGGTTTACAAGAAGCAGTTAAACAGGTAGAGATGCTTCATGGATCCCTACCTCCTCCATGTAGCTGGTTTTGGCACCATGAAGATAAAGATACTGGACTAGGTAGACCTTTTGTGTAAGGCAATTTTTCTATTCTGACCGCTTCAGAAATTCAGTTAGAAGCAAAACTTAAGTGCTTTAAAAATCTCTTCCTTGGTTCCGTATCTGAGAAATTTCAGCTTCACGGAAGCTTCTTGGATAAAGCTGAAAAAAGTATGGAAAATACAGCAGATTTTTTTAGGGATTAATGTAACAGGGAATGTATCACAGTTTGGCAGGACCCCAGGTCAGGAATGTGGAAGCTGGCACACTAGGGAGAAGCAGTAGTGCTAGGAAGCTGAGAAATGAGTGCTGTTTAAAACTGCAGTTCAGCACCGACTGAGACTGGAGGAAAGATCCCGTTTGTTGTCACAGTCGGAAGGCAAATTACATGGTTTCAGATTTAGCATAAGAAAACGCAGGCTGGAAGAGACCTCGAGATGATGTAGTATCCTCCCAAAACCAAAGGCAAGATCAGTGTACCAAAGCGATCCTGACAGATGTTTGCTTGTCCCCTCCTCAGCCCCATGCTGGAAATTCCAGAGCCTCCCTCCTGTTCCAGCCTTTGCTGTTGTTATGGAGTGGCATGGAGCCTTGAGCTGGCACGGAAGAGCAAGAGGGATTCATTACATGCTGTCAGTACTTGTCATTTCATTATTTCAGTTTGTAACATTTGTCCTCTAAAGCAAAGTCCTGGTATTAGGACATCTCAGGGTTGCTTTTCACGTCCCAAGTCATGTCAACAGTCTGTGACTTGCATTTTATCACAAGATACCATGGTGCTTAGGCCCTTTTTTAAAGGGATTTGAGGAGAAGAATGCTGACAGAAAGAGGGACGTGCTGCAAATGGTGACCTGGATAGCAGGAATGCACAGCATATATTTGGGGCTCTCTTGCCCATTATCCAGCAAACAAAAGTCAGGCCCTTTAGTGTCAAAAGGAGTAACTCTCCTCTCATTATCAGATATGATAATAAACTTGGACTCACCCTTTTGCAAGGTGTGGTGTTGTCTGGGCTGTAAACCCATGAGGAGCTGAAGGTTTTCAGGCTGTACCTGTTCAGTCAGCTTGAGCAGTGCAGCCAGAATGATCTTTCCCCTGGTGCCTGGGCTTTAACTGCTCTGATTGCTCTGTTCCTGTTGGTCTCGGTTTGTTGCTATTTGCTGATGTTTCAGGTGTGTGGAGAGGATGTTACATTCACCAAAGGAACACTGAGTTTGGGAATAATAAAATATGGAAAATCCTTTGTTCCAGGCTGTCTCCCCTGTGGCTTCCATGTGTGCCTCAGCTGATGGGCATTCCCTTTCTGCCTTACTAGTCTTCCAGGCCTTCCCTCAGTCCCCCTGTCCCCTGAGGCTGGGCACAGAAGCTGTAACACAATCCTTGCAGTTCAGTGCTGTCTGCCACATCAGTCTCTTCAGATCTTACCATGTGCTGAATTGCCCCTTACCAGGAAATCTCTTTGAGTATTTTATGTTTGAATGGAGAGGAATGGGAGCTTGGGGCTGAGCCAAAGATTTCTGATGTGACATAAGACATTGTGGCATCCTCTGGGACAGAGGGCATTCAATGCTTCTGGCTTCAGGTTCGCATTCTGCCTTCAAAGAGTCTTTCAGAATTGCGGTGAAAAGTGAGTGTCAACTACCAAGGTAATACAAAATCCCTGAGCGAGAATCCTAATGCTGATTAGAGACCATGAGAACTACAGTCTCCCACACCTGCAGGTGGAAGACAATATGCCCTGCCACGCAGCCTTCACTGCTGTCATACTGCTGTCACCTTTGCCTTGGGCCCACCCTGAAAAAAGGTCTCTCCCCCTGGTCCCGGCTGAGACGTGCCGCTGCCCCTGAGCTGGGTAGACGCATTGGGCTTTGCTGCCACCCAACGGGGAAGTGCAGCAATCCTGATGATGCTCACTCAGGCCTCCTTATTTAGCTTCATGTAAGCAGTCAAGATCTTGCTAAAAGCAAAACGAGAAATAACACTGATTGCTTTAGAAGACAGGAACTTTTTGCAGTGATGATTTTTGTAGCTCATTCCTAACAAAATCTGAAGTTTGTACAGAGCTTGCCTGGCAGTCTTTGAATCATAAACAGCAAGAAAAACAGGAGAGGTACTTTCCCTCTTCTACTGAGTATGTCTATAATGACAAAGATTGAATTTTTGTACAGGACCTGGGAAGTGTTTGAGGAAAGGAAGACGTACCTTTGCATTGCTGTGTAATTCTCCCCTTTGGTTATTCAGTGTTGCAATGGGTGGGTGATTAATGAGGGTTAATGAACCAAGTAACTGACAACAAATGCATTTGTTTATTTGCAGATTGTGCTGGCTGTGGAAGAGACATAAAAAATGGACAAGCATTGCTAGCTCTGGATAAGCAGTGGCACCTAGGGTGCTTTAAGTGCAAGGCCTGCGGGAAGGTCCTAACCGGGGAATACATCAGCAAGTAAGTAACCTTTGCATCTCTTCTGCACTCTTGGCATGAGTTCTTGTTGCCAATGGAGAAGAGCTTGCAGCAAGGTTCACCTTTCGAAATCCAGTTTTGACCACCTTTCTGCATACACCAAAATCTTTGTTCCCAGTGAGAGCTGAATTGGAAACGGAAAGTAAACTGAAAAGTGCAACTGAAAGGTGGTGTTTAATGATAGTAGTCTATATTTAATACCAAGACGGAAAGGGGTATATCTCCATGTTTCCACAAAGGATTAGGTGAATTCCTGCATGTGTTTTCTGTGTTAGCCAGATAAAACTTTGTGCCATTTTGCTTTCCAACATGTGATTTTGAGGAAAAAAAGTAGGAACCTGTCCATTGCTTGCCTTTGCTAGAAAATAGAGTAAATGTGATGATGTGATTGACCTGACATTGTGTTTCTTATCTCCATATAAGAAACTAATGACGAGAGTTTTGAGAGGAAGGAAGTGTAGAGGAAGAGAATGGGGAAAAGTGGTGTAAAGATAAAATAGAGGGAATGAAGATACAGTCTCTGTTCCCCCCTTCAAGCATATAACAAAGAGAAGAAATAGGGAAACAATGTATGTTTCACAAACCTGTCATTAGGGGTGTATAATATTTAATAAAAAGTAGCATATGTAATTTCTCAAAAGAAGTTCAGTGCCTGAGAAATACTCCTAAGCTGACTAGTGTTTCCACTTTTACTATATGTTCCTTGTTCATACTAAAAAATGACATAACCTTACACTTCAAGGTAACTGCTTATACTCTTGCAGACTACCAAAGATTTTTTTGCTGAAGTGAACAATAAATACCTGCCTATGATAAAGACTGTGATCTCCTCTCATCCCCATGGACATAGTTCCACTGATTCCCTAGAATTGCACCACCTGTAGGTGTAGAGAGTCTGTTCTAAAGAATGAGTTTTACTTCAGTGGTTTGTATTGGATGCCTTTTCTTGATGGGAATTTAAGGAATTATTCTAAGAGGCACTAATGAGAGTATGATTTTTTTCTTCTACTACAAAATATATCCCTTGAATTCTCTCCGATTTGCCTATTGCTGTGTGTAGGAGTTCCAGACTGAAGACAAGGGAAGAGTGTAAGTCATGCTGTAACCTGTTTATTAAAAGGTGGTTTGTAATTTGTGGATTTTCTTTTCCAGAGATGGTGCTCCTTATTGTGAAAAGGACTATCAAGTTCTTTTTGGAGTCAAATGTGAAGCATGTCACCAGTTCATTACTGGGAAAGTCCTAGAGGTAGGTGTTTTGTAAACTACAGTCTAAGAATTGGGCCATGTCCCATTATGTCCTCAATCAACTGCAGAAAATACAAAAATTCTCATAGGAAAGGGGTTTTTTTTCTGCTGATTTTAGAGCAAAGTTGCTAATTTTCAGAAATATTTTCAGTGTTATAGCTTTGCAGTCATCAGGAAAAGTATGTGATAGGGAATTAATTGCACTAGTTTCTATGGATCTGTGGTTTCTATGTTTGTCTCGTAATGGTGATGTGCAAAGTCTATTGCACTGCTTATTCTGTGTCAGATTTGATATATTTATAAGAGGTAGTTTGAGTATTGGAATCACCTTTGGCGACCGTAAGTTTGCCAAAACTTACAATATGAGATTTCTCTTCTTAAATGAGGCCAGATGATTTGAATGATGCTGAGAAGGTGAGAGGGAGAAATTTCCTGGAGAGGTAAATTATATGTTGAGAAAAGAGAAGGCAGAAAACATCTGAACCATCTCTTTTGTTGACTCTTAGTTGGAGTCCTCAGCGTTCTCACTGAAACTGGCCAAATCTTTTGAGAGATGTGTATCTTTTGTTGTCAGTACTTGATCATCTCCCATGGCTGTGATGAGTCCCCTTTGAGCTGGAATGCTTCAACTATGCATGGATCCCTCTGTGTCATCATTGAAATGTTTAAGGGGCAAAAATGCAGAGGACCTTCCCTGTCACACTGTCATTGAGATACAAGAAGCAAAACTGTTATCTCCTTTCCCTGTAGGAAACTCTGTTCAATGGAAAGAACCTAAGCTTTGAGCTCAGGTCTGGAGCTGGGCTGTATGGCTTGACTCCAGCTTTAGTGATTTTTAATAGTCCACTTTTTCTGGAACAAAAGCCTTTACATAACAAAGTTTGTGGAAGAAATGGGGAACCACAAAGAACTTCAGTTTCAGGTGTATTTTGTAAAGAAGAAACTGGATGTACTGTATGTTTTACAGTGAATAACAGAAAATAAACCTGAAAGTGTTACAGAAATAAAAGCAGCTGGAATTTACTAGTGAATGCGTATTACAGGTTCTCTTCTTTGTGTCCCATCTACTACAGATGTAAGACTGTGTCAGCCCTCATATGAGAAGTTTCAGGTTTGATGTAAAGTGGTAACAGCTTGTGATTTTAGTTCTGGAGGTTTCTCTGGTTCAGTATTCAGAATATTAACCAGGATGGTAGCCACCAAATGAGGGGCTCGGAACGTGTGTGGACACCTGGTGCATTTGTCACTGCATCTACTGGAAGGAAGTACAATTTTTTAATTAGCCAGGCTAATTTGCAAAGTGTATCTGATTCCTTTGGAGACCCGCATAGATAATTAGTGAGAACAGTCTGAGTTTTCCCTTGAGTAGGAAGGCTGTGTCTCTGGCTTTAATCTAGTGGTCTGCTACCATCTGCTTATCTATTCCCATCTACTGATGAGTTTTTCAGTTTAGTACTATGTATTGGTGACACCATAGTTGCATTCCAGTGCAGGAAGCACTGCAGGAGAGAAGTAATTGGATTTGTGAGATTGGGAAGCATAAAATAATTCTAAAATTATTTTAGATGCACATGATAGGTGTTCTAACGTACAAGCAGTGTAACCTATTCAGAGGCATGGAGATGAAAATGATACAAGAGAAGGTTATTGGACTCTGTGGAGAGCTGGGAAGTAATAAGCTATTCCTATTTGGAGCCTTTTGTGTAGTGGATGTGACTATAGCAAGGTTGCACTCATGTTACTTTTCCTAGCATCAGTGAGAAAGAAACCTAGCTTTTTGAGAGGATCATCAGCTGTATTCTTTCAGAACTAAGTTGAGACTAAGGAAAGATTAGTTCAATTGAACTAGGACTTCCCTGTCCATCATAATCTAAGTTAAAGTTCAGGTTGTCAAAGACATTGTGTCGCAGGCAGAACCTTGATGCAGTCATTTTGGCCACAAGGTTGGTTTCTCACTCCATAGTTCTTACTCTTCTGATGGCTATTTATTAGCAGAAGAAAAGACAACATTTTGCTGAAGCAATGAAACATGTCCAATCTCTTGCAAGGATCCACCTCTTCTAAGAGTCAAAATCAGATAAAACAGATAAAGATTCTCCCATTTGACCTAGCCCTTGCAGAATCAAAATATGCTGATGAATTAGAAACAGACACTTTGAATAATCTTATCAATACATGGAAATATTAAGGATGCTAAGTTCTGGGTAAGACTAGAAATTTTGCTTGAGTATTTGTGGCTTTCATTGATTATCAGAGGCACAACCCATTATAATACAGTAGAGGGCAGCAGTAGTTCTCTATATGTAACTAAGACCAAACTCCTCTAAAGCCTGTAGAAGTTGAATTACTCATATAGTGCAACTCTTTCCTGACTTGTTTAAATGACATTTGAAGGCTGACTGCTATCTGAAGGGTGTAGATTGGACAAGTCCTTAGAAACTTTCATCAAAAAAATTAGTACTGTGTAGTCAGGGAGGCCATTCAGACATTGGCTTACCTGCATTACAGTATGTATTAGCAGCCTGGATAGTCCATGAATAGAGTTCTCCAGGTATCATCTGGCAATGCAGATGCAGGAGAGACATTCAAGCACTTTCTGTCATTACGTGGTGCTTGAAAAGATTAGAAGATACAAGTGAGCAGCTAATATTCAATAATCAGAACAATTTATCAGAACCGGGGCCTAGTTTCTTGGCTCGTCCTAGAAACCTTTTACACCGTCAGAGATGCACAGTTCCAAAGGGGCAGTACTCTAAATTAGACTAAAGGAACTAATAAGTCAAAACTTTGGATGAGAAAATCGTGTGTCAGCACATGTGTCTCCTTTGGGCAGAAAAGGTAGTCTAAAGGATGGGGTCAGAGCATGACATAAATCTTCTGGTAACAACAGAGATGAGAGATCGGAAGCAGCCACAGGGCCATGGAAGATAATTCACAGAACAGGATGCCACGGTTCAGAGAGGGCTGCAGACCTATGTGAGGCAGGACAATTAACAATCTCCTTATCCAGTACAGGAAATCACCCACAACCTTTCAGTACACCTGAAGTTTTAATTCAGATGAAGCTTGAGATTCTCACAGGAGGATTACTGTCTTTCGCCTTTGTTTTCTTTGGCAACGATTCTTTGGCAAATTTGGATTTTTGATGATTTATATCATGTGGGTTGTCTCTTTTCCTGCTGCTTCTCTTGGGAAGGAGACCACATTCTTGGTGTGATATGGCAGAATTATAGGAGCTGACTAGGTAGAAGTTATGGCATCACTGACCAGCCTAAGTTATACGTACTAACGTCCGGTGGGAAAAAAAACAAAACACTTTGTATTTTGCCTTTGTTAATAAAAATGGTAGTAGTAAATTCACTGATCAGTATCTTCCATTTTATTTGTCAATAAAATACTTTGTTATGTCAGGAGCAGAGTATACTATTTTATCATCTTCATCCAAAGAAATGATTAGAAGAGACTGGAGGGAAGTATATAGTACATTGTATACAAACACTTCCCTCTAATGGATCAGAAGCAATCAGCAGCATGCCATTGTAGTACTGCTTTATTTTCTGCTTATTCTTATTACATCTGGGACAGTCCATAGAAAAACTGAAGGGAAATGAAAGCATGAAACATAGCTTTGGGTTCACAGAGGCTGGTGGTATCTATTTTTTCCAGTAAGAGAATAATTTTTTTATTTAAAGAGAAATTGAGATTCTTTGCAACATTGCAGGCTTGCAGCTCCTGCTCATTTTCGTCCCTCAGTATGGCTTAACAACTCTGAAGAATCAGGCTTTCAGTCTTCTACAATGAGCAGCCAGCAAGAGAGACAACCACTCCTGATGCGGACCTAAGAGTCTTCATCTCAGAAGCAGCTATGCTGTGCCCCTGATAGGCACCCTCAGCAGAGCCTGTCAGAAGGGCCAAGTAAGGAGTTCAAACCTTGAGATTCAAGCCTCGAGAGGATGGACTCCCTCTAGCCATTCTGTAGAGGTGATCCCTCTCCTCAGTTAAGAAATGCATTACTAGAAAAACAGTACTTATTTTGCTAATAGCCACATACTGTGGAAGAATGCTCTTTTTTCTAGGCCATAGATCTAACAACTTTCAGTAGCCATGAAAATAGGCAAGAAAAATACCATGTGCATTTAAGTCAGCTCAGATATTTCTCATGTATTATTTGGCACATAACTTTCTGTGACAAATAGATGTCAGATGATAGATGAGTGCATGTCATCACAATAAATGTGGTAAGTATCCAATATGAAATAGGTATTGCAACTTTTTTGAGCATACCGGATACTTTAAAACTTGAGTATTTCAGGATGATGTTGTCAAGGCAACAGAGATCAGTGTTTTTCCTTGGGTTTCTCCAGCAGAAAGGAATCTTTATTTATCAAAAATTACTCATTTCCCATTAACTCTGGTGAAAAACATTTTTATCAGGCAATAATGGCATAGTGAGAGTGAGGACTTTCACATAGACTTTCCACTGCGCTGTTGTTTTCATAGCTTCAAGGTTTGCCTATTGAAAGATGCCCATCTGATCCTAATCCTGCAAATTTCTGTGTAGACACGTGTAACTCCACAAATCTAAGTAAACTTTAGTAGGTATTTAGCTATTTGAAAGATGCTGGCCTAAATAATTTTTGTCTAATGTGGTTATCATAGGCAATATAACTATTACTCCAGGGCTCAATTCAAAATATGTTAAATCAATGAGAAGCTTTCCATTGACTTCAGAGAATGGTGGATCATGCCTATCCTATATCCATGTAATTCATCTCTGCTTATCCAAAGTGTTTTAGAAAACTTCATAGTAGTATTCTTTTAGTTCTGCAGAAAGAAGACATCAGGGCAGAAACAGGTGGATAATTTGCATGAAATCATTCAGAAAGCCTGAGAATAAGATTCAGGTCTTACGATTTTCACTTTTTTTGGCTCTTACTGATATGAACAGGATTTGATCTCAGGATCTAGAGATCAAGATGTATATATCTACTATCAAATCCC